CTAAATAATATAGGATTCTCTATAAGTATAAATTACACAATTCAATAACATTACATTTGATCTATTTTTCTATTAGATTTATTGTGGATAATAATATAATAAACAATGCATTATTCTGTGATATCTGAGATAACTTTGAGTATAGGACTGATCATGTGTCAAATATCAAAACAAAGTAAGGGCTATAATAATTTTTTGATAGATGAAGCATTTTCAATACATGTTCTGTTGGGCTAGTCGTTTTAAATTGAAATCCATACTTTAGAAATGTAAAAAATTTTATCCAAAGCTTTTGGTGGAAGAATAAAGTTTATATATATATATATGAGATCTCAAAGCATTGACGATTAAGATATTTGTTAAAAAAAAAAACTCCACGTTATTTGATTTTTCTACATATTATAAAAGGGTATAAACGGCAATTAAAATATCTGTTGATTGGATTGGAATTGGACTGGATTTTTGGGGGAGAGTGAGAGCAAGATTGATTGCAAACATTGTAGTGAGTAATTTTCATTGTATTGACCACAATTAATCACATCAAAATTAATTGATTAATAATACTTTCTCTTTCTTTAAGTTTATTTATTAATCTGCGCTAGAACTAAGGTGATCAAGGAAATGTCTCCATGATGAACTTTCTGGACCACGATGCCAATTACGATGTCTTCATTTTTCAAATTTTGTTTTGATAGTGGTGTTGATCGTGATGAGGTGTTGTCGAAAAGTATTATCCTCTGGACGCTGAAAAATAAAACGTGCCTCTTTTTGCAGTTGTTGTGCAATGAAAAATTTAGCCGTACGTCGTATAATGCAGTGAATGATTTCTACAAGACTATCACTTAAAGAGGCGAGATAATTAGTAACCATATCAATCATTGGATGATTTGACTCCATCCAATAAGAGATATCAAGATTTGTGATAAATCGGTCATTGAGATGTTTCATAATCAACTCATCATCAAAGATTTTTGGATTCAATGCACCATTACGTGGTATTGTTGACATGTTGGGACATAGATTTGTTACAATAGTAGCCATATGCACCACTCAAGATGTAGTGATAGTATCAGGTTGACTCTGGATGTGAATGTCAACATTCAACATGATGCATTTTTTGAATATTTTGTAAGTGCATTCTCATGTTCATGAAGATATTTATTGTGTCGGTAATGATAATGATGGGTTGACTTGAATATAAACACCAATTTTGAGTTAACATAGGTCTTGGTTCCTCGATGGTGTTAATATGACAAAGGATCTATATATACGATACCAATAAAGTTTAGTCAGTGACTAGGCTACTTCATATAGGTGAATAATAATTAATTAATTAAATTTAAAAATAATCATTTGGTAATTAAAATTAATTAATACTAACCGTTATTAAATTTTTAATCAGTGTGAAATAGGGTTAGTAGTACAAAAGAGACTGGTAGCCATTTTCCTAACGATTCATTTCATTAACTAAACTGTCTTAAATAACAGCATAGCCGGCTAATAAATAGTTTAACAGATTAATGCTAATAAATGACTTGGTAATAACAGATTAGCTGGCTAATCGGTTAACATCATCATCAGATATACGTTATTTCTTGATAATAAATATGGACATGGCAGGAAAACAAAAAAAATATATTATGGTAGTACAAAAATAATAATTTTGGGTCCCCTATATTCTCCTATTTGGAAGTTGATTTTAGAATGATTAAAATTGCAACCAGAACTGGGTAGATAATTTGATTGGTACATTCACTTTAGTTTTTCTTTTTATGAAATAATAATGGTGAATAACGTGTGAGTCGTGCATTGTAAATAATCAAGATTTTTTTAAATAAAATGATATAATAAGGTTACGTCGCTTAAATAAAAAAAGATGATGTCGGTTTTTCATCATTTTTTTTTTTCATCAACAAACCAACATGTGAATTGAATATTAATGAAATCATTTATTTTTTTAAAAAAATCTAAAAATCTTGTATAAATACTAGCGTCTTTTGCTTCACACACACAAAAAAATTAATATTCACAATGAAATACCACAGTCTTTTTCTTCATACATACTACAAATACAAATAAAGACACTAATAATAAAAACATTAATTGCAATAATAAAAATATTGATGGTGAAAATAATGATGAAAAGCTCTAGGTAATCAATCAATTAATTAAAAATTACGAACACTTACAAAACCAAAATATTATATTTTATTACATACAATTGCCAATTAATTAATTCGTTATTATTCTTTTTAATATATGTATTGTAGACACTCTCTTTCGCATTCATTTTCTCCTCGACATTAAAATTAACATCATCAATATCGTCAACATCAATTCTCTCTCTTCCTCTCATCATCATCATCATCCTCCTCTCCTCATCATCATCGTCACCAACATCGCCGTAATCCGCCACATACTCCTTTAGTTAGGAAGATGTATATATATTTTAAACTAAAGGAGTGTGAGCAACAATGGAAGGATTATCGCCAACAACAAAACTGATCCGGAAAATCCTCTCTCCAGCACAACCAAGGAGAAGTGAGAGAACAACAACAACAACAATAATAATATAATTATGGCAGCTGGAACAAGGTAATCAATCAATTAACAAACATTGCGAACGAACACTTACAAAATCTAAAAAAATTATATTTTATTGATTATAATTACTATTGTCGACTAATTATTTTCTTATATTTTTAATATACATGTAACAGAGAAGCTCCTATTGTTGTTGACACGCCTTCCCCATCACCATCACCACCGTGATCATCTCATCAACACCACGCTCTTTCTCATCACCATTCTCCTCTTCCTCCTCGTCGCGCTCATCACCATCATCACCACTCTCCTTCGACAGGTCGAGGGAGATGTTAAAATTGGGGAGGGATAGGAGGTTGGCGAGGAGGGAACACCACCAAAAACAACAATTAATAAGAGAGCTAAGTCGACGCACCATCACCAACAACAATGGAGGCAATAGTAGTAATAATAATAATAATAATAATAATAATAATAATAATAATAATAATAATAATAAATTCATGACTCTAGTTTTTTATAAAGAATAGTGGTAGTGATTGCTGTCATTCATTCATAAAGTGTTTCCACAGAACACATTTGATTATATAAAAGAATTTGATGAATTTTTTTTTTTAATAAAAAATGATTACTAGAGCAATGACTAACCTGGAAGATGAAGTAACAAAAAAAATGAAGATATAACATGATTAAAATATAAAAATAATAATAATATAACAGTAGTAGTAGTAAAAAAAAAAAAAATTTTTTTAATTTTAATTTCAATTTTTTTAATTTTTATTTTTTATTTTAAAAAAAAAAATATAAATATTTCTAACAAGTTTTGAAAAACTATTTGTTAGTACACAAATTATTCATCTATTATTAATAAATATATTATCAATTATTCCTTCACTCAAACAAATAATTGTTCACTATTTGGAAATTTTTTTTTGTAATGATTCCACGTTGATCCAATTTCTTAATAAACGTTCTGGTTTTAGGGCAATTATTATTATTAATTCAAATTATTCATTTTATTATTATTCATAACGAATAAAATAAACAATTCAAGTAAACCTTATTCAAATAGGAACCCTATTTTTTTCAATTCATATATAAAATTCATAACAAGCTCATCGTCTCCACCAACTTTTAAACACATGAAACTCGTATTGTTTCAAGTTCTAAACTACAATGCCTTTGAGAATAATTAAGTCTATGCCTCCAGAAAAAACTCGTCTAACCAGGACAACCGGTTGCTATAATAAGTTTATTAGAGATTAATAATCAAAGTGCAAAAATTAGAATACCAGAGACCAAGTAGTCTCTAGCATAAAGTTCCGAGCCGAAATTATTCGGTTTGACTTTTTAGAAATCGAAACCGAACCGAGATATCCTGAAATCTTATTAAAGAAAGAGATTCTTTTGATGTGCTATCCAAATCAACAAAACTTTGTGATGACCAATCTCCACGTCGATATTATTGATTCTTTCAATCCCCGTTCTTTCAAATAACCATCTCATCAACATAAAAATTACTTCTTTTGAGAATTTCTAATAGAATTGATTGGTCTTTACAATGATTTTCACAAAAATAGACATTCTTCAACTCCTTAAGTTTTGCCGCATGTCTTTTATATAAATTTCATCATTTATCCCTAGACCAAGTTGATCTGCTGCAAGTCAAAATCAATTTTACGTATAATTAAATCTATAAATCCATATATTCAATAAATATTAGCATTCTCAACAAATGTAATTTCCATTTTCTTTTGTTGCATTGCTAGAAATGGACAGTGAGTAGATATAATAGATGTATGTGCACGAACTCTTTGATGAACATCAACATCTTTCATTTTTGAAAAATTTTTTTGTTGGTGAGAATAAAATGAAAATCACATGTGCTGCAATTGAATAATAATAATAAATAATATACATATAAATATTTATTTGAAAAACTTCCAATTCATTAAATTGGCTTTGATATATCTTGATGGTATTGCAAGTATATAAATCCAATCATCTGTATGAAAAAAAGAACGTCACTATTCAACACCTTTACTATTATAAGAATGACCCCAAACTGCATGTTTATGATTTCTATTACGTATGTTAAATATAAAACTTATATAGTATACTTAGGTATCCAATTTCCACTTCTTCCTCCATTCCAATCAAGTGGATTATAACCACCAACCATTTGCTCTGAATTCTGTATTTTACCAACTACAAGGGTTTTGTTGATGTTATCACATTTTTGGTAATTGTCTTGTTTGTAGAGGAAGGTTGGGGTGTTTCAGTAGATGTATCTTCACTATAAAACGCATCCAATATGACATTTAATATTTTAAATTTCTTATTCACAAAATACTCAAATTGTAATGATATTTATTGAGAGAAAAACATAAATAAATCATATAAAAATATGTTCTATGAAATAAATAATAAATAAAATAAATGTACAAGGTTGAAAATTATTTTGGAGCCCAATTATAATTAACCAAATAATTAAGTTGCCTTTTTTTGCTATCAAACTGCTTTTTTGCATGTTTAGCTTGAACCTCTTTACGTTTTGCTGAATTATTTTCCCATTCATTTAACAATTTTTTCTCTTTACTATTAAATCCAATACATCTCTTTATTGCCAACTTAATCTGATGTGGCTCACTAAGTTCGTAAACATTCTCCAACAACCATCTTATTTGCTCAATATGTTGCAATTTTGCTGCTAATGATAATACTGTGTTATTTTCTTTATCGATTGCTGTCATATTCACATTCTTATCAACCAACAGCTCTAAACAAGTGCCTGGCCAATTAGATCTAATTGCTAAAAATAATGAGTTCGGTGCATGGAAATGATCGCCTGATAATGTGTTGTTGACATCAGTTGGCAGGTTTGGATCTGCTTTATTTTTCAATAAGGCATTTATTATTGGTATTTTGAGATTGTGTTCATGGGATTCTTCCAAATAATAAGACAACACTGTTCTTGATTTGATATCCAGTGCATTGACATCGCACCCCAACTTTGTCAAAATATTAATTGCCCGAATAACATATTTGCTTGCAATACTATCTTTAGAAGGTTTCTTCATCATATTGATGTTTTCAGATAACATGTGTAAAGCAGTTTTGAGTGTTTTGGTTGAAGTTACATGAAAATCTGCATTACAATGCTTCAAACATTCAAACATCTTGATAATGCTCCTTCTTGGACAATACCTGGATGTGATGATTACTAGTTTTTCTTTTTTTAGGTCCATGAAATCATACATGTCTTCTATACCGGATCCTTGCTGAATATGCCACAGTAAACCTTCAGTATCACCTAATGCTGCATGTATGCCTGCATGACATTTGTCCGGTTTTTTGTGATATTGCATGCCTAAATCTTTTAATGTTGCATCACAAGTATTCTTGCAAATAACATCTGTTTTGTACATGGTATTTTGTATTTGTAAGTATGAATTGATTATTAATCAACCAAAATAAATAAATCAATGATTGATTGATTGATTGATTGATTGATTGATTGATTGATTAAATTAATAGTTAATGAAATGAATTCATTTTTACATAAAAAAAAAAACATACTTTGTTGAGATGAGAGAATAATATTTGTTTCAGAACTTTTGGTGGACTCTGTCGCAGCAGTTGCAGGTGTTGATGGTGATAAATTCAAAGTTTGTTGTTTATCAGGAAGTAAATAATAATCTAAAAGATTTTCCCGTAAATCCTTTGGAAAAAGTTTCTTAAAAGGCAAAATTTTGTAACGAAAATCCTCATTAGAGATATCCTGGAATCGAATCAAAGAAATTAGTTCTTTTAAAGTATTTCCTAAATCAGCAAAATTTTGTTTTGTCCAAAGATTAACATGATTAATATCATTAATTTCTGGATGTTTGGCTAGTCCCCATTTAAGAATACTTTCCCAAATAATTGTTCTATCAACATAAAAATCATCTCTTTCAAATATAGCTAATAAAATTGATTTTTCCAATAATTCAAATTCACTTGACCCAAATAAATTATCACTAGAATCACAAAATTTTTTAAGATAAATATTTTTCAATTCCTTAAATTTTTCTCCATTAGAGTAGATTGATCTTAGAACTTTAATTGTATTTTCTTTAATGTAATTCTCATGATTTTTAATAAAGTACTTTAATGTGTGTTTGTAAAATGGTTCAAGGCCAAACTCATCAGCTGAAATCAATAATTGCAATACATCTGCTCCATTAAACTCATCTAATTCAATTTTACAAGTATATAAAAACCTTTTAAATATAAAACAATAACAATATTATTGATATTATCATTAAATTAAAAAAATAAACAAATGGTAAAGTCATTATTAACAATATAATAAACCTACTTTAGTATTGTCTTAAAGGCCAATTCATTAAAATTTGCTTTCTGAATAATATAATATCCATTTTCTTTTTTTGCATTCATTAATGCATCTCGAAAAAAAGGACAATGAGCGCATATAATTGATGAATGTGCATGAACTTCTTTAATATTTGGTTCTATACCAACACAAATTTTTACATCATAGAAATCTTCTGTATTTAATAATTTTTCATTTTCATTAAAATAAATTTCAAAGTTAGTTGAATCCATTTTTAAATTAATCGTTTAGAATTCCTTTTTTTTTTGAATTGATCACCATTATTTAAATGCGGTATCACCTTGACGGGACGATTCAATTACATTCCTTAACGAGACTTTAGCAGAGAATATGCAAGCAAGCCTTTTTATATTCAGTGTAAGAAAGAAACTAGTTAGTGCTACGCTGCGTTATCCTTTTTTGTTTAGAGAGTGATAATCATTCGCTGATTATTTTTTTTTTGAACCTCTTTTTAGAAATCTGAGGTTTTTACAAGTTTCAAATCATTTCTTCTCCACTTTGCTTAAATGAGCTTTAAAAATCTCTGCCTTTCAAGCCTAATTGTGATAAATTTCAAAAAAAAGAAATTATTCATTTATGTGATAAACGTCTCTTATCATTTATCATACAAACAATAAACTCATTTTTCCAAGCAAATAGATATTTGTTTGGTTTTAATGGTTGGTTAACATGATAAAGATCATTACTTTTTTTTTTTGATTATATACCAAATTTACAACTGAGAATGCAACGTGTTTTTTTATTTTATTTATTGTCATCACTATTTTATTAAATTCGAAACATATATATAAATACGCTTACCCGCATTTTTTCATGAGCCTTCTCATCCACAACAACCCGTTTCAACCCTTCCACCCATTATCATCTAATAAAAAATGGAAAATAAAGAATAAATAAATAAAAATCAGTAATAAAAGAGCCAAAGATTGATTTTCATGCAAAATTACATATTAATATAATAATAATAATAACTAAAGGACGCGTTTATGATAATTAATGCTTCACTGGAATTTGAATTAACAATTTCTTTGAACCAATCGATTGTTTATGACTAAAGTTTTCTTGCACTTATTATTTATGGTAATAATCTAAATTAAAGTTCTGACTTTCACGCCAAAAAAAAATTAAAATTTATTATACCCAAAGTAATGATGATTAATTGCAACTAAATGAGCCAACTCTTTTTAAATTAAATAATAGCAGACGTTACACTTACATTTATCTCATTAGAAAAATTTAACTAGCTGATTTGTAAAAAATTACCTCTCGGTGAAGAGATCTTTGGCCCATTTGTTTCAGCTGCAGCAGACACGATCAACCACAACATTCTCAATCAGAATCAAAGTAAAGATTTTCACTTCAACTACCACACAAACCTCTCCAAGCATTTCATTCTACAAAAAGATGCAAAAGTGATGTTTCTCAACA